TTACAATCAATACGAATAAGAAAATGTTGATTTAAAACGTCAGTTTGAAATTTACAAACACAGTGAATAATGGCTAGTAATTCTTTTTTGACGATAGAATAATTTTTTGTGTTGGATTCCAGGCTTTGGAAGTAAATCGTATTAATTGTTCTTTAGACCCAACGCACCCTAAGGACGATACGGTTTCATCCTACGGTTTTTCATCTTACGGTTTGCAACTTTTTATTACCAATAAGAATACCAATATGAATAATCCTCAGTCTTCACATATTAAAAAAGGAAAACAACCTATGGACTTAGTACCAAGTAATATGTTTGGGCCCCTTATGCCCATTCACCCCTCTTTGAGTCTAACACCTATGTCACCTCTCAGATCCTCAAATATACCTGAATACTTGATTCAAACTCCTCTTCAAAGTCCAATACAAATTTTAAGTCCAGCGTTTTCCCCGGCAACATACCCAAATAAGCAAACCTCTACTGCTGCCAAATCAGTCTATATAGACACAGCCTTCTTAACAGATATACCTATTTCTGATAATCATGCACAACTTGACCCAAATAAAGTAGCTCCCCTTTATCTTGTGAACCACCTAAATCAATCATACGGAGAAAAAAACCCGTGAATGGCATGAAGCTATTCTTATGGAAACCGGGTCGGTTTCAATTGTTCATTTTTATCAAGGTACGACTAAAGTATATGCTTACTCCAAATTTCAAATTAAAAAATTACTTTCCTATGATGATTGGGGATGCAATCATCTTCAAGGAAAAAATTTATTGAATCCAGAATTCCAATATAAATATTATAAATATTCTGAGTACATAGAAGCCTGACATAAAGTATTATTTTACCAAAATCCAAATAATACTCATTCCTGGTATTTACAATTTAAACTCCCTATTCTTGAAAGATTTCCAAGTTGGTTCCGCCATTGGTTTTTACTATTGGGATCACAGACCCAAATCTTACCAGATGCCTTTCAAGCCTTGCAGACAAAATTTGCAAAACATAATACTTGTACCGACCTAGATGATTTCCATCTCTATTTTATGGCCATCTACTAAATACCCTGGATCCTAAAATGGGATTACTCTATTGCTGAAAATAATACTAATAATTATAAGTATATTCCTAAACTTGGCAAAACCCTTAAAATCAAATGGTGGGATATTTTTAGTACTGACCCTGCCTCTTTACCCCTGAAACGCATATCTCCTCAAACCAACATTCTAAACCCACCAGCATATAATATAGTCAGTTTACCCACTTTCTCAGCCGATCTGAAGAAAATGAAACAAGCACACCCTAATGCTACCCTGGAAGAATTAGAGCAAAATCTTCTTAATATATTTGCTCCCGATACTAATGCACCAACTACATCTGAAGAAACTGTTCAATCCGGCAATCCCTTGTTTGACGACTTCGGCAAAGACCCGATGCTTAACCCGGCCCGATATGACTCAATATGAGTCTAGCGTAACTACAATGACATCATAAAAGTAAGATGCCTCCACAGTTCAATGATAGGACCTCACCATCATAAAGCAGATGCCTCCACAGGTCGCTGATATGACCTCACCAGCATAAAGCAAATACCTTGACATAAAGATTCCCTTCTTTATAAATTGATAAGACATCTCCAATAGTAAAGATGCCCCTTTTCCCCGTTTGGATTGATGTGACTAATATCGAGTCACATCACGCTCACACCTCAATCGACGTGTCTCTTTCCCCTTCTTCGTCGCTCGCACATGCCGCTCCCACAGACACACCAAAGATTCGCCATCGCAATACATCGCTGTCATCAACGCTCGGCTGTCCCCTGCACCTGCCACGTACCCCTCTTCAGTGGATACCTTATCCTTTCATCACCACTGGAGTTCCTTCGTCGCTACGCTATCCTCTCTCAGCCACAAGCATTCCTTCGTCGCTACGCTATCCTCTCTCAGCCACGAGAACTCTTTCATCGTTCATCTATAAATACCCACTCCCTCAATTGAAGAAGCAGACTGCATCAAGGACTCAACGAAGCATCATCAGCATACTCAAGCTCTCATATGCTCTCTCATATTCTCTCTTCTTCTTCTTTTCCTCTCTTTCTGTAAACAGTAGGTTAGTCATCTACATCTACATTCACCAAAGTCGGTAACTTCCATATGACTTCTTTATTTTAGAATGTGTGATTGTAATCTATCTTCCTTACCTTCTTATTATCCTTCTGAGTGGAAAAAGTTTGCAAGTCTCTGTATATGTAATCAGTAAGTTATGCAATTTAAATTTCTCTTTACATTCAAAATCTGTGACTATACTCATACTTCCTGGATCATATTTGATATATCCTGGCTTTCTGTTTTAATTATTTTATTTGTGTTTCTATATTATGTTACTATTCTGCAACAATTAATAGCTTATAACGCTGTAATATTTTCATATTTAAGATAAGTAATAGTAACTACTTAGGGTAGATCTTGCGGCAAAAATGGTATTAGAACCAACCCTGAATTAGCGATCTAAAAGTTAACGCTAGTTCTTCTATCTTAAGAAACTTAATAAATTAATCCATTAAAGAAAGTTGGTCCGAGCATTGAGGTTAGAGACGCTCAAGACACCCAGTCAGTTGACCGCTTAGGCCAAGAGAGCCGCTGAGGTCTGCAAGACGTAAGAGGTAGTCAAAGAGGACTGTCCAGATAATATTCAACAGTAACCTAATAATAGAAAAACTTATTAAGAATCTGACGGATAAAACAACTAGTACAACTAATAGTACTCTAAGGATAAAAAACAAAAAAGAAATTATTATTAATGATATTGAAAACCAAATACAAAATTGGAACATACCTAAAGTTCCAGTATCAGATGTCTATAAGAAAGGCACATTCGATCTAAAAATCGGATATGTTATTAAAACAGTAGAAGAAACTCTCTTTGTTACAAGTAATCAAGAAAACTTTCAACTACTATCTCAAAAGATATTACAAGTCCATAAAAACAAAAATTATAAACATTTACATATAGGATTAATTCAAATAGCTGTCAAACCTTTGACTCGTTTAGGACTAAATAATTCTATCCTAGTCTGCTTACGAGATACTAGGCATAATAGATTTTCTGATTCACTACTAGGAATTGTCGAATCTAGTTTTTGTAGTGGACCAATATATTTCAATTGTTTTCCCAATTATGTTGTATCTCTTACAGATCCAAATATTTTAAATGTTTTATCTTTAAATCTCAAAACTCAAGATTTAATATGATGTTAGGTTCTCAAAATATAATCATTGTTTATCGAATTTATTATAAAGTGATGAATACATTATGTCCAAATGTACTTCAAATAGATACAAGAGGACAAACAATATTTTTTCAAACCAATATGGAAAAATCAAATACAATTATACCAAAAACAATATCATGGTCAGATATTGTTTTACCTCAACATGGTCTATCCATAATGAAAATCAACCATCACAAATATCTACTCAAAACATTCCAGATAAAATTATTGAATATACAGATGGAAATATTGAAATTCAATTCAACCCAAAAAATAGAATTACGCTAGATGAAGCATCCATCTCAGGAACTTCAAATAATTATTCTTTCCGATAATCAGAACCAGCAAGAAAGTCTGTTACTACATATAATAGGATCCCTTCTACCATACATATGCCATCAACACCAATAAAACCACAAATTACTGACTTACTAAGAACACCTGATAATATCATTATTCCTCAATACAAAGAAGCTCAAGAAGAACCTACTGAAGCAGAGTTCATCCAAGTATTACAACTTGAAGAAACATTTGATAAAGAATATATCATAAATGATTTTTTATCCTTAGAATATAAAAATATCAGAGAATGGCATGTCAAAACTTTTGAACCTAAATTAGTGGAATTGTTTTACAAAAGATTTAACAAATGGAGAAACAAAGGAAATAAAGGAACATGTTTTTTTTATTGGCTAAAAGACATTTTAAGCCAAAAGGGTATCCCTATTCCTAATTTTGAAATAAATACACTAGAAACCCAATATACAGTATTTAATACTACTGAAGGAAATACAATTAAAACCATACATCATCCTGAACAAAGCTTGAAAATACAAGGAGTTGCTACTAAAGCCTCTACCACAACAGGATTAAATATAGAATCCTCAACCTCGACTTCAACCCAAATGGTTGTATACGAAACCGTAGCAACACCATATAAACTAAATAATGCAAATATAGCTCGTATAGAATTGCTTACCCATAATTTAAAATGACCCAAATACCATCATTTTTCACGGGTATTTCGTTCATTTTATATTCTGAGAAATATTTTTTATATATATTTTATTTGTGCGCCCTATTTTTTAGTACACATGTCCAAAAATTCATTATGATCCAATTTATAAAAATATAATTAAAATTAGAACAATGATTTGCATTCTGAACTGTATGATGAAGATCTGACGGTTCCTATTCCACCTATATTACAGCTGGCCAGATATTGTTAACTTTTTCCTATATATATATATATATATATGTGTGTGTGTGTATGTGATGTTAAGATGCTTACACTATGGAATAATTATCATTGTACTCAACAAAATTTGGACAATTAGATACCATTATTTTGTACAATGAGTTCTTATAACAAGGGTATTTTTTGTCATTAAGAAAGGTATGATGTCATTTACATGGAGTGTGACATCACTTACATGAAGCATTAAATGTCACTAGTGTATTTAATGCTCTATATAAGTAATGTCACACCCAATGTGATGTCCAAAATAATTAAATACAATGATAAATTACTCTATAGTGTGAACACCCTAACACACACACACACACAATATATATATATATATCAAACAATATTGAAAAGATGACCTATTTTACCAGATTGGAAGCTCAAAGACATTATTTACGATTTTATGGTGCAAACATCTAAAGAGAGAGAGTCATTAGTATTATCAACAGTGATATTGAGATCGTACATGACGGTAATTAACAGATAATGTGAGAACATTATTTGAATCAAACATGAAGGCATATAGCATTCGTGAGATTCATTTTACTGTTATGAAGAAACTCAGCTACAAAACATATGTACCCCTACCTTAAGGGGTTTAAGTTACTCTTATCCATATTGTACAAATCGAGCATAAAATTGCATGGCCATGCACTCAATATGGCCGAGAATAATTTAAGGAAATAGTAACACATTCTCACAACTTAAATGGACCTTTCATACATGAAGGCTGCCATAACATGCGCATCTTCCGTACATTCTGGCATTCCCACTCATGGAGGGAGGTCTCACACATTATCATAAGGTGCAGGTCTGAGAACGAAACCGGTTGTAACTAGGCAACCGTTGAATCGGTCCCAATGCAGCAATGGCAACATCCTGAAAGTAAAGAAAAAACAAATTCCAATATATTGTACGAAGTATAAGATATTGTGGTGTTTAACAGGATTAAAAGTGATGTTACATGGGTTTAAACTCCAAACTTCAGAAGAAAAAGATATCCTCACCTTGTCAATTATAAAGTCATGTGCCGCCTGCTTAACTGCATCTGCATCTACTGCATCTATCCGTGCAAACAGCTCCACAAATGGTACGATCCTACCATATGTCAACAACTGCACCAACGAATGAATGCAAAGCCAATTATTATGAGTTTAGATGACCCCACCAAACCAGCAGTACATACAGATTTGCAACTACCTGGCGTCCGTTGTTTTCTGCAATTGAGCTGGAACCATCAATATGAAGCATGAGGGCAGACTTCAACTGCAGAAAAAAGTCATTAATTGGATGATAGAGTTTTAAAGTTACAAACAAGGAAAGGACCCAAAAAAAACATGGAGGTCCTTAGAGTAGAGCTGGTAAGATGTGGACAAGTTATTATCAAAAGCTAAAAGAGTTATACTAGGCTGCCCAGCAAACAGAAGAAACAGAGTATTGGATAACCCAACAAATTTGTAAAGAAATCACTTCAATAATATCCATTTAATCATGTTTGTATGAATATCCCACAAAATAGCACCTAGTAGAACTAGCAGGAGAAAAAAAATCTTGTTTTTTTTTCCCGTAATCATAGAATAATACTAATATAGAAATACGAATATTCCGAGGGTGGCAGTCCAAAACATTGACTTACATATGCAGACTTTTGCCTATTTGCGTACCACAGTGCAAAGAATAGGAAAAGGATATAATGGAACCCAATAAAAAAAAAAGAATGATGAGGTAAGCATCATTCATTTCAGGGAAATTTGCGCTAATATCCCATATAAATCAGAGTATTTAATATATGTTCCCCACATTTTTACATTTTATGCTCATATCCTTTTCTCTCCACCCCCCCCTCCCCAACCAAAAAAAAAGGAAAAGCAGTTCAGAACTATTACTTCCAGTCTGTTCACTGGAATTCCAATGAGCGGTTCAAAGTAACAGTTCTAGACCACTTTGGTCTATCGTTTCATCAAGTTCCAGACTGCTTTGACACCTACAAAGAGCAGTTTGGAACTATTAGTTCTGAACCACTTTGATTCCTTGCAAGGAGCCATTTGGAAGTCTTAGTTCCGGATCACTTTGATTCCTCAAAATGAATGGTTCGAAGCTAATAATTTTGAGCTTCTTTGATTCCAAAAGGCCGAGCAGTCTCGAACTACTTCTTGAGCACTAAGCAGAACCAGACCTTGAATGAGGTTTAATGTAGTTGATGAGAGGAAAACATACCACTAAGAGTGAAGCCAAACAAGGTATTGAACAAGATGCAATTAATAGAACCCAATAAGGTTCAGAAAGTGCTGGATACGTGTGGCCTTTCAAAGCCTTGACACCCTTGTACTAAAAAACTATTCTCTTAATGGATTGCTTAGCTCCAGCAGGAGCATGAGTCCGATAGGTATTAAGGATGTGGCTCAAGCGCATCCAAGGATGTGCACATGTACTAAAAAGAAGTCCCCTAAACCTTGTATTGTAATGAACAGACCCAAGAGTGACCTCATCTTCTTCTTGGAGGGAGCACTTGTAACTCATAATGATGCTCTTGCGATCCCGCCAACTATTAAAAGACTTTGATTAACCAACCATGAACCGCTGCATATACGACTGTGGGTTCCATTTGGTCGGTTTGATAATATGGCCCATGGGCTACAAGAATAGTCCATGGGCTACAAAGAAAGATGTGAGAAAACCAAATTAGAAAAAGACCCAGAAGGACAGCACGTGTGGGAATGGCACATGTGAGGGCCAAACAGCCAATATAAGCCATAAAACCCAAAACAGGGCTCATATGGAACCCATGCACCACAAAAAAAGGAGGGGGGGGGGGAAGGCCACACCAGAATGATGTCATTATGACATCATCAATGGATCCCCTTCTCTCTCCTCATGGTTGCTTTACCAGGCTTGAGCATTGTAGAGATTTTATGGGCAATTTCATAAAATGCCTCACTTTCCCATGCTTCAGATTTGTGGAACATTATGATGGGCATTTTGGTAATTGGTTCCCTAGGGGCACATGTCAAAAAGATCCATTGAACACAAGTAAACCTACAATTCCTTGAGACACATGTCAGCTATATATTTGAACACATGAAAGTTAGTCCAGGGGATCATGGAATATTGTCTCTCTCTCCTCTTAATACAAAAGGAGAGAGAAACCATAAATGGAGTTGCATCCCCACCTAGATCTCCCTCCCTGTCTTTCTCCTGATCGAAGGATGCGATTCTTGGGTTACGTGCCCTTTAAAGGCATTGAGAGCATGTAAAAAATGCTCCCTATGTTGCATTCAATTGGCTTTTCAACATTGCTGTGGTGGCTTTATGCATCAACAACGAACCTGCATGAGCCTAACATCAAGTAAGTGCCC